CAAAATACCTATGTCACTTTCCTGAGGACTAGAGCAAATAATCCTAAAATTTGTATAGAACCACAAAAGACCCGAAATAGCTAATGCATCTTGAGAAAGAAAAATTTTTGAAGATATGCTCCTCCCTGATTTCAAATTATGCAAGAAAGCTATAAAAATCAAAACATAAAAATCGATACATATATGTATATCAATAGAACAGATGAGAGAGTCCACAAACAAGCCCACATTCATATTGTCAATTCACATATGACAAAAGAGGCAAGAATACAAATGGAGAAAAGACAGTCTCTTAAAAAAATGATGTTGGGAAAACTGGGTAGCTACATGCAAAATAATGAAACTGAATCATAGTCTTTACTCTGAACCATAGTCTTTACTGAACCATAAACAAAAGTAAACTCAAAATGGATCAAAGACCTAAATGTTAAGACCTGAAACAATAAGATTCTTGAAAGAAAACAGAGAGTATGCTCTTGAACATTGCCATTAACAATTATTTTCCTGAATATGTCTCCCCAAGCAAGAGAAGCAAAAGTAAAAATAAACAAGTAGGAAGGCCTCAAACTAAAATTTTCCTCACAGCAAAGGACATTATCCAAACACAGAAAGGGAACCTACTAAAAGGGAGAATGTATTTATAAGTGGTATATGTAATAACAGGCTAATATCCAAAATATTAAAGAACTCATACACTCAACACCAAAAACAAACAAATAACCCAATTATAAATGGGCAGAGGACCTGAACAGACATTTTTCCAGCGGCATACAGATGGCCAATAGGCACAAGAAAAGATGTTCCACATCACTAATCTTCAGGGAAATGCAAATCAAAACAATGAGCTATTACTTCATACCAGTTAGACTAGCTAGCATCAAACAGAGAAGAAATAAGTGTTCATGAGAATTTGGAGGAAAGGGAACCCTCATGCACTGTTGGTAGGAATACAAATTGGTCCAGCCACTATGGAAAACAGTATGGAGTTTCCTAAAAAAATTCAAAGTAGAAATACCGTATGATCCAGGAATTTCACTTCTGAGAATATAACCAAAGAAAACAAAATCCCTAACTCAAAAGATTCACACCTATATTTATTGCAGCATTATTTATAATTATTTATAATAGCCAATATATAGAAGCAATGTAAGTATTCTTTGAGAAAGAATATGTGTGCGTATATACAAAGAAATATTACTCAGCCATAAAGTGGAATGAAATATTGCCATTTGTTAAAATATGGATGGACCTTGAGGGTATTATGCTAAATAAAATTAGTCAGAGAAAGATGAATACCACATGTTTTCACTTATGTGTGAAATCTAAAAAATAAAATAAATGAACAAACAAGACAGAAACATACTCATAAAGTCAGAGAACAAGCCAATGGTTGAAATAGAAAAGGGGACAGAAAGATGAGTGAAATAGGTGAAGGGGCTAAAGAGGGATAAACTACCAATTATAAAGTAAATGTTTCAGGTATTAAAAGTAAATGGCATATGGAATATAGTCAATAATATTATAATAACTTTGTATGGTGACAGATCGTAGCTACACTAACTGCTGTGAGATTTTGTAATGCATATAAATTGTGGAATCCCTAAGCTGTACACCTGAAACTACTATAATACTGTACATCAGCTATACGTTAAAAAAACCAATATCATGCACAAACTTTTGAAATACATATTTATTTAAAACTTAGCATCTTCAATGTCCATATTAAGAACAAAAATAGTTTTCATTTATATAGTATGCATTCATTTCCAGGTATTCCAAGTGCTTAAAGTTAATCACAGTAATGCTACAATATAAACATATCATTAACAACCTCATCTTGTAGGTGAAAAAGCAGAAACTCTGAGTTTTGTAATTTGCTGAAGGTCATGGACAACAAAGTGTCAGTACTTGTATTTGACCCCACAATGACTGGATCCAGAATCACGCTCTTCTATACTTGCAATATCCTGACTCTGTATCCCTGTATTTGTTTTATCTCTTCTAAATCATCAACATACAAACTCAAAACATTTAAGCAAACTCAAAAACTAATTGTGGAACCAACACAGAACAACATACAATCAAAAAAGATGATAAAAGTCTTTATGTCCTGATGATGGAAGAAGACCCAAAAGGTGTAGTTATGTGACAAATGTCAGTAAAGTATCTGTTTGTTAAGGATATTTATGAAAATGTCCTCATTAGTTTTCTAGATAGTTGGATTTCAGAATTGGTGGGGTGCTTTGTTTTGTTTTTAGCTCTTTTGTTTCATTATTTCCTATGCAGTTTCAACTGTAATATATATATATATATTACAGAAAAAGATAGTGGAGAGAACAACCCTTAATAAAAATAAAATAATTTTTCATAACAAATCTGCAGACTGTATTTATGGGTGGGAGGAGAGGTTTGGGTTACCTATAGAACAAAGTGACACACTTTTCCACTCAAGCTAAAACAGTGAAAATATAAGAATTATAAGTCACATCCAGTAGGAAATAATGTGTTACAAAACTATACAAGAAACAAGGGAGATGACTCCAGATATTCAAAATTAAAACATAGCACTGTCTTCCTCATGTATGTGTATTTTATGTATGCATGTTGACCATCAGGATGTGAAAAATTAGGCTTCAGGGTGTTAATAAGTTAATACTAAACTTATTAACACTAAACGAATTAAGGTGTTAATTGTATCCTTACTTCATACTCAAGAGTTATGTAGGCACATTTATGTCTTTGTTTTTCGTTTAGATATGATACAACTTCAAGAGTTACTGAATACTTCAAAAGACCTGGGAGTCATATAAATCAAACCCTTGTGGTATGTATGTGTGATTAAAGGGAAGACAGAAGTACATTGTCTTAGAGTTACTGAACTAGGAGGTGGTTTGCCAATTCCAACAAACATTTTCCTGTCTTTATATTTAGAGGCTATGCTTGGGTAAATCTGTTCAGTTTAGATAAGAAATCATGTTACCATAACTATAACAAACCCTGAAGTTAAATTTTAGTTTCCACAATTTCAAGTACTTATCAGTAATAATTTACTCTCTACTCATTCCTAGTTAAATGTTACAAAAATTTATTCAGCAACTTCAAGAAAAATATCTTTAAAGAAATGTGTACTACTGATACCTCTATGAAAAAGTGTTTATAAACTGGCCATTTTCTGTTGATCAAATAAAAGTCACATACAAAAGAGAAAGTTGTACAAGGTTATGGAAGAGGAATCTTTGAAAAGAATTCTAATAATGGTCAAACTGGCTAAGATTGAAATGCATTTACTTAAGAATATGTGTTAGTGGAGAAGGGGAAAAGATGGTGGGGCAGGAAGGCAAGGGAAAAACCTCCTCACACACATACACCAAGCAAGCAACTACAGCAATTACAGCTGACCCTGAAAATGACCTGCAGACTGCAGACCACCTACACCTGGGGGAGAAGAGAGGACCACCCAGAGAAGGGTAAAGGGGCAGGGCCCCAAAGTAGTGGGAACCCAGCCCTTGCCCATCCCCACCCACAGTCAGGAGGAAGAGGAACCAAGCAGAGAGAGGGGAGGGGCTCAGGCCTCTGCACACCTGGCCCTGGAGCTCTGCTCTGGGAACACAAGGCCACATAGCACTGGGTTTTGATGATTAGTGGGGCTGGACACCAGGGACAGTTGGAACCCTCTAAGAAGTTGAGCCACTCCAGTTGCTTGTGGAGGACAAACACACTCTGCTGGTCCTGCTGAGACCCAGAGGAAGCATTTGAAATATGTGCTAGTAACTGGAGGGGTGCCCGAGGGGTGAGGGTTGGATGGAGCTCTCTCCACAGGAGAAAGGGCAGGTGGATGACACTTCCCCATCCCTCCCTTGGCCCAATAGGTTGAGCACTCTCAGGAGCCCCAGGCACTTCAGCTCCTCACTCGGGGCTCAGCCATGAGATGCTTCCAGCATACCTCTGGTCTGTTAGCTTACTTAGCCCAGCGGTGTCAGATTTAGCTACCTGGCAGGCAGAGGGCGGCTTTCTCAGCCCCGTCTTAGCCCAATTAGAGAGGTACTTGCAGGAGCCAGCTCCAAGGGCTCCTTCCTCCTTGTGGGTTGCCAAGACTGGTGCTGAGGTTTGCTGCCGACAGGGCAGACCTGCATGGCTCACATCTACTGTGCAACTCACCAAGACAGTGCAGCCACACACCCTGCCACCACATGAGTTGCCTCACTGCAGGACTGTTTCAGAGCTGTGTGACTGCCCCATCCACTCCTTAACCCAGCTGCACCACCATATGCAGGGCAGGCAGAGGATGGCCCTGCCTGCAACAATTCCAGCAGAAGCTCCTGCTTTAATCACAGAAGGGCTTATTGAGGCAAACTGCCAGCCTCAGGGGAAAGAGATAGAAGACAGAAAGGCGGCCCTGCCCACTGCCCACCAACAGCAACTGGGACTCCACCAGGCACAGGAGAGTAGAGTATTGAGATTCTGAGCACCACAGGATGCCTTTCATAAAGCCATGACTTTCTAAACCAGGAAACAGAGATGATCCATCTAATACAAAGGAAGAAACACAGAAACCCTGACAAAATGAACAGGCCGATGAATATGTTCAAAACAAGATTATAGCACAAGACATCAGAAAAAGGGCTAAATGAAAAGCAATCTTCTTGATAAAGATCTCAAAGTGACAGTCATATATCAGCAGATTTCTCTGCAGAAACTTTACAGGCTAGAAGGGAGTGACATGAAGTATTTAATGTATTGAGAGGGAAGAACCTACAGGCAAGTATCCTCTACCCAGCAAAGTTATCATTCAGAATGAAGGAGAAAAGAAAAGTTTCCCAGATAAAAGAAAGTTAAAAGAATTAATCACTACTAAACCAGCTACACAGTAAAGAACCAATCACTTACTAATAAAACATAAAGTTAAAAACAAAAACAAAAGGAGTAAAATCAACCATATACAAAATCAATCACCAATTTTCTTGATGAATATTTTAAATAAAAGTCATAAATATGCTTACTGATTTGTAGAAAAGTATTGAAGATCTCAGGAAGGCTTCAACAAAGAGATGAAGAGCTGAAAAAGAACCACTGAGAAATGAATAATACAGTAACTGAAATGAAACATGCAATGGAGGGAATGAAAACTTTAATATAGACTGCTATATAGTTAGGAAGCTATCCTTGAACTTCATGGAAACCACAAGCCTAAAACCTATAATAGACACACAAGAAATTAAAAAAGAGAAGACTAATCACAATACTAAAGAAAACCATCAAACAACAAGAGGAGAGTATAAGAGAGGAAGAAAGGAACAGAGAGGAACCACACAAACAAGAAAACAATCAACGAAAGGGCAAGAAGTACATACCAATCAATAATCACCATAAATGTAAATGGACTGAATGCACCAATCAAAACATAGAGTGTCAGAATGGATATAGAAACAAGACCCATCTCTGGGCTGCATACAAAAGACTAGTTTCAAACCCAAAGTAATACACAGACTGAAAGTGAAGAGATGGAGAAGGACATTTCATGCAAATAATAGGAGAAAAAAAATCAGTAACAGTTTTTATATCAGAAATTATAGGCTTCAAAACACAGAAATTAACAAGAAACAAAGAAGGACATTCCACAATGATAAAGAGGTCAGTCCAACAAGAGGATAGAACCATTATAAATATCTATTCCCCCACCATAGGAGCACCTAAATATGTAAAACAAATACAGAATTAAAGGGAAAATGGATTGTAACTCATTCATTTGAGGAGACTTTAATACATCACTCATAGCAGTAGACAAATCAACCAGGCAGAAAATAAGGAAACAGAAGCAGTGAATAACACATAAGATAAGATGGAATTAGCAGATACCTATAGAACATTCCACCCCAAAGCAGCAGGACACACATTTTTTTCAAATGTACTTGTTGGATAGGAAGAATTAATTTTGTCAAAATGGCCATCTACAGATTCAGTGTGATCCCTTTCAAAATACCTATGTCACTTTCCTGAGGACTAGAGCAAATAATCCTAAAATTTGTATAGAACCACAAAAGACCCGAAATAGCTAATGCATCTTGAGAAAGAAAAATTTTTGAAGATATGCTCCTCCCTGATTTCAAATTATGCAAGAAAGCTATAAAAATCAAAACATAAAAATCGATACATATATGTATATCAATAGAACAGATGAGAGAGTCCACAAACAAGCCCACATTCATATTGTCAATTCACATATGACAAAAGAGGCAAGAATACAAATGGAGAAAAGACAGTCTCTTAAAAAAATGATGTTGGGAAAACTGGGTAGCTACATGCAAAATAATGAAACTGAATCATAGTCTTTACTCTGAACCATAGTCTTTACTGAACCATAAACAAAAGTAAACTCAAAATGGATCAAAGACCTAAATGTTAAGACCTGAAACAATAAGATTCTTGAAAGAAAACAGAGAGTATGCTCTTGAACATTGCCATTAACAATTATTTTCCTGAATATGTCTCCCCAAGCAAGAGAAGCAAAAGTAAAAATAAACAAGTAGGAAGGCCTCAAACTAAAATTTTCCTCACAGCAAAGGACATTATCCAAACACAGAAAGGGAACCTACTAAAAGGGAGAATGTATTTATAAGTGGTATATGTAATAACAGGCTAATATCCAAAATATTAAAGAACTCATACACTCAACACCAAAAACAAACAAATAACCCAATTATAAATGGGCAGAGGACCTGAACAGACATTTTTCCAGCGGCATACAGATGGCCAATAGGCACAAGAAAAGATGTTCCACATCACTAATCTTCAGGGAAATGCAAATCAAAACAATGAGCTATTACTTCATACCAGTTAGACTAGCTAGCATCAAACAGAGAAGAAATAAGTGTTCATGAGAATTTGGAGGAAAGGGAACCCTCATGCACTGTTGGTAGGAATACAAATTGGTCCAGCCACTATGGAAAACAGTATGGAGTTTCCTAAAAAAATTCAAAGTAGAAATACCGTATGATCCAGGAATTTCACTTCTGAGAATATAACCAAAGAAAACAAAATCCCTAACTCAAAAGATTCACACCTATATTTATTGCAGCATTATTTATAATTATTTATAATAGCCAATATATAGAAGCAATGTAAGTATTCTTTGAGAAAGAATATGTGTGCGTATATACAAAGAAATATTACTCAGCCATAAAGTGGAATGAAATATTGCCATTTGTTAAAATATGGATGGACCTTGAGGGTATTATGCTAAATAAAATTAGTCAGAGAAAGATGAATACCACATGTTTTCACTTATGTGTGAAATCTAAAAAATAAAATAAATGAACAAACAAGACAGAAACATACTCATAAAGTCAGAGAACAAGCCAATGGTTGAAATAGAAAAGGGGACAGAAAGATGAGTGAAATAGGTGAAGGGGCTAAAGAGGGATAAACTACCAATTATAAAGTAAATGTTTCAGGTATTAAAAGTAAATGGCATATGGAATATAGTCAATAATATTATAATAACTTTGTATGGTGACAGATCGTAGCTACACTAACTGCTGTGAGATTTTGTAATGCATATAAATTGTGGAATCCCTAAGCTGTACACCTGAAACTACTATAATACTGTACATCAGCTATACGTTAAAAAAACCAATATCATGCACAAACTTTTGAAATACATATTTATTTAAAACTTAGCATCTTCAATGTCCATATTAAGAACAAAAATAGTTTTCATTTATATAGTATGCATTCATTTCCAGGTATTCCAAGTGCTTAAAGTTAATCACAGTAATGCTACAATATAAACATATCATTAACAACCTCATCTTGTAGGTGAAAAAGCAGAAACTCTGAGTTTTGTAATTTGCTGAAGGTCATGGACAACAAAGTGTCAGTACTTGTATTTGACCCCACAATGACTGGATCCAGAATCACGCTCTTCTATACTTGCAATATCCTGACTCTGTATCCCTGTATTTGTTTTATCTCTTCTAAATCATCAACATACAAACTCAAAACATTTAAGCAAACTCAAAAACTAATTGTGGAACCAACACAGAACAACATACAATCAAAAAAGATGATAAAAGTCTTTATGTCCTGATGATGGAAGAAGACCCAAAAGGTGTAGTTATGTGACAAATGTCAGTAAAGTATCTGTTTGTTAAGGATATTTATGAAAATGTCCTCATTAGTTTTCTAGATAGTTGGATTTCAGAATTGGTGGGGTGCTTTGTTTTGTTTTTAGCTCTTTTGTTTCATTATTTCCTATGCAGTTTCAACTGTAATATATATATATATATTACAGAAAAAGATAGTGGAGAGAACAACCCTTAATAAAAATAAAATAATTTTTCATAACAAATCTGCAGACTGTATTTATGGGTGGGAGGAGAGGTTTGGGTTACCTATAGAACAAAGTGACACACTTTTCCACTCAAGCTAAAACAGTGAAAATATAAGAATTATAAGTCACATCCAGTAGGAAATAATGTGTTACAAAACTATACAAGAAACAAGGGAGATGACTCCAGATATTCAAAATTAAAACATAGCACTGTCTTCCTCATGTATGTGTATTTTATGTATGCATGTTGACCATCAGGATGTGAAAAATTAGGCTTCAGGGTGTTAATAAGTTAATACTAAACTTATTAACACTAAACGAATTAAGGTGTTAATTGTATCCTTACTTCATACTCAAGAGTTATGTAGGCACATTTATGTCTTTGTTTTTCGTTTAGATATGATACAACTTCAAGAGTTACTGAATACTTCAAAAGACCTGGGAGTCATATAAATCAAACCCTTGTGGTATGTATGTGTGATTAAAGGGAAGACAGAAGTACATTGTCTTAGAGTTACTGAACTAGGAGGTGGTTTGCCAATTCCAACAAACATTTTCCTGTCTTTATATTTAGAGGCTATGCTTGGGTAAATCTGTTCAGTTTAGATAAGAAATCATGTTACCATAACTATAACAAACCCTGAAGTTAAATTTTAGTTTCCACAATTTCAAGTACTTATCAGTAATAATTTACTCTCTACTCATTCCTAGTTAAATGTTACAAAAATTTATTCAGCAACTTCAAGAAAAATATCTTTAAAGAAATGTGTACTACTGATACCTCTATGAAAAAGTGTTTATAAACTGGCCATTTTCTGTTGATCAAATAAAAGTCACATACAAAAGAGAAAGTTGTACAAGGTTATGGAAGAGGAATCTTTGAAAAGAATTCTAATAATGGTCAAACTGGCTAAGATTGAAATGCATTTACTTAAGAATATGTGTTAGTGGAGAAGGGGAAAAGATGGTGGGGCAGGAAGGCAAGGGAAAAACCTCCTCACACACATACACCAAGCAAGCAACTACAGCAATTACAGCTGACCCTGAAAATGACCTGCAGACTGCAGACCACCTACACCTGGGGGAGAAGAGAGGACCACCCAGAGAAGGGTAAAGGGGCAGGGCCCCAAAGTAGTGGGAACCCAGCCCTTGCCCATCCCCACCCACAGTCAGGAGGAAGAGGAACCAAGCAGAGAGAGGGGAGGGGCTCAGGCCTCTGCACACCTGGCCCTGGAGCTCTGCTCTGGGAACACAAGGCCACATAGCACTGGGTTTTGATGATTAGTGGGGCTGGACACCAGGGACAGTTGGAACCCTCTAAGAAGTTGAGCCACTCCAGTTGCTTGTGGAGGACAAACACACTCTGCTGGTCCTGCTGAGACCCAGAGGAAGCATTTGAAATATGTGCTAGTAACTGGAGGGGTGCCCGAGGGGTGAGGGTTGGATGGAGCTCTCTCCACAGGAGAAAGGGCAGGTGGATGACACTTCCCCATCCCTCCCTTGGCCCAATAGGTTGAGCACTCTCAGGAGCCCCAGGCACTTCAGCTCCTCACTCGGGGCTCAGCCATGAGATGCTTCCAGCATACCTCTGGTCTGTTAGCTTACTTAGCCCAGCGGTGTCAGATTTAGCTACCTGGCAGGCAGAGGGCGGCTTTCTCAGCCCCGTCTTAGCCCAATTAGAGAGGTACTTGCAGGAGCCAGCTCCAAGGGCTCCTTCCTCCTTGTGG